TAAAAGGAAAGACAAAAGATGGAATAAAAGCAAGACATGATTTGGCAGACATGGGTATACGTTCTGAATTACATCCACAATCAGTTGGAAAACGCACTTACTTACCTCCAGCTTGTCATACTCTATCAAAGAAAGAAAAGAGAAGCTTTTGTGAGTGTTTACGTGAGGTCAAAGTGCCACAAGGATACTCCTCAAATGTTAAGAGTCTTGTGTGTATGCAAGAGTTGAAATTAGTTGGTTTAAAGTCTCATTATTGTCATGTGTTGATGCAACAACTTTTACCAGTGGCTATTTGAAACATCTTACCAACTTCTGTTAGAATTGCTATTACTCGGTTATGTTTGTTTTTCAACGCCATTTGTAAAAAGGTAATTGATCCAAAAAAGTTAGATGAATTAGAAAATGAAGCAATTGTAATAGTGTGCCAGTTAGAAATGTATTTTCCCCCTTCATTTTTTGATATCATGGTGCATTTGATAGTCCATTTGGTAAGGGAAATTCGGTTATGTGGTCCAATTTTTCTTAGATGGATGTATCCTGTTGAGAGATACATGAAGATCTTAAAAGGATATGTGAAGAATCAGTACAGGTTAGAAGCTTCTATTGTGGAAAGGTACATTGCAGAAGAAGCCATTGAGTTTTGTTTAGGATACATGTCAAAATCAGAACCAATAGGTATTCCTAAGATGAGACATGATGGAAGATGTGAAGGTAAGGGTTCTCGAAATTTAAAGATTAAAAATGTTAGTCGGAAAGAAGTTGACCAAGCACATTTATACATATTGAACAACACTGATGAAGTAATCCCTTACATATCACAACACATAACTGAAATAAAGGCAACACATCCACGAATGAATGAAAAATGGGTATTGAATGAACATAACAAAAGTTTCCTTTCTTGGTTTAAAAAAAGGGTATATGTTGAGATTAATGTTTCAGAAACACTTTTGAGACTTGCTCGTGGGCCTAATAGTGATGTCATTACATTTGGTGGGTATGACATTAATAATTATTGTTTCTACTCAAAAATAGAAGATGATAAAGGTAGAGTACAAAATAGTGGGGTCACAATTCAAGCTGAATCTATGCATTTTTCTAGTTCTAAAGACAAAAATCCTATCACAGCTTCTATGAGTTATTTTGGGGTCATACAAGAGATATGGGAAATTGATTATGTTACTTTTAGGGTGCCTGTCTTCAAGTGTAAATGGGTTGAAGGGAATATGGGTGTGCGAACAGATGACCTAGGATTTACTTTGGTTGATTTGAGTAAAGTTGGGTATAAGGATGAACCTTTTATTTTGGCATATCAAGTGAGACAAATATTTTATGTCAAGGATCCATGTAATGAGAGATGGTCAATTGTCCTTGAAGGAAGAAGCATGCACGGAATTCATGAAGATGAGTCTCTAGATATACATGAAACACCTTCATTTTCAAGTAGACCATTTGATGACATAGTTGACAATGAAGTTGATGACATACATGCAATTCGAAGTGATCATGACGAAGGGATATGGGAAAACATACCAACATAATAGGTGTTTATCTTCACATTTTCTAGTTCTTTTTATTCAAACTTATAAAGTATGTTGACTTCATATTGTTTTGTTTTTCAGGATATGTTGGATTCCACATCTGGTACTGGTAGTGGTAGTGGCAGTGGCAGGAGCAGAAGTGGAGGTAAAGGTAGATCTGTCACTCGGTTAAAGGGGTTGACGAGCAAGGAGGGTAGCTAGAGAGAAAACTCAAGTTGAAGTTGATCCACGTTCGGTAAGGCATCCGGCCCAAATGCTCGCTAAGTTTAAGAGCTATTTGGGACTACTAGCTCGACACCATGTTCCGATTACTACTCCATCTTGGGATGATGTAGAGGAAACCGAGAAGAACCTCATGTGGCAGGGTGTTCAGGTATTTCTATATTTTTTGAATACTTTATATATCATTATTAATTGAATTTAACATTTATTGGTCATTTCACAGCAAAATTTTGATGTTCCTAACACTAAGGTGATGAGGAAGAAGATTTTATCCTCCATTGCCATTAGATGGAGGGACTTTAAGACTTTCTTGACATGGGAGTATGTATTTGGAAAGTTTCAAGATGAATCTCTCTGTCTAAAGTATCAAATTAGTGAGGAGGATTGGTTACAGTTTTGTGCCAACCGAATGGACCCCTCTTGGAAAGATAAAAGACGTGCTGCCCAACAACGTCAGAGGTTGAATGATGCACCCCATGTATTGTCACGAGGAGGGTATGCATTATTGGAGCAACGTCTCATGAAAGCCAGAGAAGAGTTAGCAGGAGTTGAGTCTACTGAACTTGCATCTCCACCCCCTCGCTATGAGATGTGGAAGGTAGCCCGGACAAAATCTGATGGACAAATGACTTCTGAGTCTGCACGAATATTTGTAAGTTATAATGTCAATTTGAATTGATTCTAATGTGGAAGTTAGTGTATGACTTAATTATTGTTAATGTCTTGTAGGATGATTTAGTTGAGCAGAGCACCCAAGGATCATTTATTCCTCATGGTCGACAAGATATATTGGCGACAGCCATAGGAAAACCAGATTACTCAGGACGTGTGCGTGGTGCTGGTGGATCCTGGGGCCTTCGTGATTACTTTGGTCCAACATCACGAAGGACCACTACTGACTCTTGCAGCCAGGATGCCTTGCATAAAATGGAGATGTAGTTTGAAGAAAACTTAAATCAAATAAGGCAGTCCTTGCAGCAAGAGTTTGATGAGAAAATTGAATCTCTCGCCCGCTCTCAGCAACAGACTCAAGGAACACCTCAAACAATTGAACATGATGTTGTTCGAGTCAGCACTAAAGGGAGTTGTGCTGCTACTGCTGCTGATCCTTCAGGAGAATATACTCAGACTGATGCATCACACCAGTGTGAGTTATATGTTGAAGATGACCCCCTGCGTCTAGTGGCTATTGGTCAAGTTTTTGAGGGTGGTTTAACCATCCATGGTGTCCCTCTACAGGCAGACTGGACACGAGTAGTAGTTGATGAAGTTCATGATGCTAATGCTCCAGTGCCTTTTCCTAATGAAGAGATTCAATTAGTGGGGCAGGCAAGCGGACATTCTTGGCTTGGCCAAGACGTTTGGTTATGCCACTATCAAGCACAGACCAAGGTAATATATATATATATATATATATATATATATATATTCTCTATTTTCTCTTTTCTAGTATTATAATTATATAAATGTTTAATTAATTGTTATCATTTGTTTAGGAGGACTTGCGTCGTGCTAAGCATAAAAAACAACCTATTATTGATGAGGATTTGACAGAATGTGATGATGATCCCATCTCTATGTTGTTGACCATATTACCACGGTTGAGGAAGAGACCATGTCAGATACAATGGGATGTTAGAGTGTTTGGAATTGACAATTCCAGTGTTCCATTATACATTTCCTTGCCCGATGCTTTAGAAATTGCTAGGGGAAATTGCATGTTAAACATTTCCATCATACAATTGTGGGAAATGTAAGGCATTCTCATTTATGTTTCTAAGATTATAATAATTATATTCAACTTATAATTAATTGTTTTAGGTACATTGACAAATTGAGTGTGGAACAAGAAAAATCCGAAGTACACAGATTTATTGAGCCCCAATCCATCCAAAAATCTGAAATACAAAGGTTGGAATCCAACAATATATGCAAACATGGATGAGTGACTCAAAAAGACATATATATTTGGCTCCATACATTGAAGGGTTAGTATTTTAATTTGTATTTTAATTTATATTTTTGTAACTAATTTTTATGTCATACAATGTAGGTCCCATTGGCAGTTAATTGTAATCATACCCGGGATTACACTCGTGGTGTGGTTTTGTTCATTACATCGAAAACCGAGTCAAGAAATGAAAAGCTTATTACAAGGGTAACTTTATCTTTTATTCATTAATTATGTTTTTAAATTGTAAATACATATTGAATAATATATGACTTTTTTTCACTTAGAATCATGTCTGGAACTAATGTTCTAAGTGGAAAACCTAGAACAAAGACTTTGCAGTTCATTTATCCTAAGGTTAGAAACTTATTTATATAAGTGAATACCATAATTATTGTTTGTATTTAAATTTTGAAAATAACATTATGTTTTTTTCATCATTTCAGTGTAATAAGCAAACAGACTTGTTTGAATGTGGTTACTATGTTATGTATTGGATGAGAGCCATAGTTTGTGCGAGTATAATTGATTCTTGGATGGAGGTAATTGCTTTTAACATTAGTTAAGTTTATTTAACTTTATTCATGTTGCATGTTTACAAGAGTCAAATTAATGTTTCAGGTATTTCAAGATCCATCTCCATTACCAGAATATGATATTACACAAATTAGAGAACAATGGGCAAAATTTTTTGTTCAACAATTCTAGTACATAATTTTTTAAGTTCTTGTTCATATTATATTGTGTGTATTATGTAGTTTAGGTAGCTTAGTTTGTATTAACTTTTAGTTTGTAATAGATTTTTTAGTTTGTATGTTTGTATTATATTGTTTTATTATGTAGTTTGAATTATATAATATTATATTTTTAATATACTAGTTAAAGAAAATTGAACCTCTGGACTGTCTGGTTGTAATATATATTTGCAGGTTTTAGTTGTAAAATAGAATCAACCCAATTTTAAAAAAAAAACAGCAAATTTACGTCGCGTATTGGTATATGCGACGTAAATTTTCTGTTTTTTTTTTTATTTTATTTTTGAAAGTTTTTACGTCTGTTTAGTGGTATATGCAACGCAAAATTACGTCGGGTCTTGATAACTGACGTAAATTTACGTCGGGCTTAAGGGTCCGACGTAAATTTGCGTCTCCCGTTTTAACGTCAGTCTTAAATACGACGTAAAAAGCCCTAAATACCTGACGTAAAAGCTCCTTTTTGAACTAGTGTTAGTATAAAGCTCAACAAAATTAACAATGCAATCCCTACCCTAACATCTACAACCCTAGTTGGAAAGACCATCCAAATCTCAAATATGGACCACAACTAGCTCAACAACCATAATAGCAGTTGAGAGGCCCCTTTCAATAACAAGGATATCGGGCACCAAGGAACCACTAGTCACAACCACCACACAGATATATGCCTCCTCCTTTGAGGAGTAATCAAGCTACACCCCCACCAGCGCAACAATAAGTCACACTACCACCAGTACAGGGTAGTGCAACCCATACAACTGAAGAAATAATGTGACAAATGGATGACAGACTAACTAATAAGGTAACATAAATCGAGCAAAATGTGATAACCACTGTCAAAGATTTGAAGATGCAAGTGGGCCAGCTAGCCATCGAAATGAATGAGTTGAAGCAACATGGCTCTGGAAAACTTCCATCACAGCCAGTGTTAAACTCGCTTAGTAACGTGAGTGTCATTACATTGAAGAGTGGGAATAAAATGAAGCAAGATGCACGAAACCAAGCAACGGAGAAGACAATAACTAAAGAGGTGTAATAACAAGCCCCTCATATTCCACTGCCATTTCCATCGAGGGTTGTTGCAAGTCCTCAAGTATGCCAAATTTTTTAAGGAGCTATGCATTTACAAGAGAAGTCTGCGCAAGAGGCAATTGTAGACTGTTTTGACATTATATCAGTCCAGCATGTCTAAAAAATATGAAGATCTAGGACATTTCACCGTCCCTTGCACCATTGGAGAGTTGAGCATAGGTTACGCTCTGTGGATTTAGGAGCTTCGATTAATGTGATGCCAACAACCATATACAAAATGCTACATTTGGGAAAGTTGAAGCCCACGTTGTGATCCAGTTGGCAAATAAAAGCACAACTCAACCTTTAGGAGTGCTAGAAGACGTACTAGTAAGGGTTAAAACATTAATTTGTCTATCTAGAAGACCTTTTTTGATGACTGTGAAGACAAAGATTGATATGTACACTGGTACCATGTATATGGAGTTTGGAGAAGATTTAGTACGATTTAACATCTTCGAGGCCATGAAGCATCTAGTGGAAAGCCACTCGATCTTGTTTGATCATCTAGTTTACATGTGTGATACCATACAGTCAAGCGAGAATGTTGTTAATAATTTAGGAGTAGATAGGAAATTGATTCTATTTTTTTATTGTGATTTTGATTTGAAATTTTCTGAGTTTTTAGATTTATTTGAGAAGAACATTGAACCATTCATAGAGTGCACTTGCACCAAGGATGACTATAATGCTTGTAAGGAAATGATTGCTACCATAACCACTGTATCTAGTTATTTTGCAACAAGTGAAGCTGAGATTGATGCACCAGTGCCATCAATACAAGTTCAGTAGGAGTTATCGAAATAAGAGCTGGAACCTTTGCCTAACAACTTGAAGTATGCGTATTTGGATGAGGAGTAGAGGTTTCTTGTGATAGTTTCTAGAGATCTTGTTAGTATTTTAGGAAGGATAGGAAAGATAGTTTGATGTTTAGTAGTGAGATTTGTGTAGAAAATAGTTTTTAGAAAGAGGTGGACAAATAGGAGAAGGTTTGTATGAGGGAAGATAGTAATTGATGTTAGAAGTGTTACAAGATATGTAGGAGCATGTATTAGATTTTCCACCCATACAAAAACTCCCTTCATGCCTATTTATAGGCTTTACTTACAAGATTCTAGAATTTTCTACTAATTTCATTGTTTCTACACTATTCTATTTCTACACATTTCTTCTTCTTTTTCTTTTTCCAGAATCATGTTGTAGCTTCTACTAGTACACATATGTTTTCTACATAATTCTAGAAGTTTTACATAATTCTAGATTTTCTTAATTCTACAATTATCTATCTTCTACTTTCAAACATTTCTAGAATCTTCTAAGGATTCTAGATATTACTCATATGTAATTCCTAATTCTAGTAACATCTAAGATTTTATATTCTAGATCTTTCTAGAATTTGTATCATCTTTTAACACTCCTCCTTGATGCAAATTCTTGTAACTCCAAGCATGAAACGTAATTGTTCAAACTTGGCTCTTGGTAGTGCCTTGGTGAATAAGTCTGCAATTTGATCTCCTGTAGTGCAGTACTCAAGTTGAATTTGTTTAGTCGCTTCAGCCTCTCTGATGAAGTGATATTTAATAGCTATATGTTTTGTTCTTTGATGATGAACAGGATTCTTCGTCATTGCTATTACTAATTTGTTGTCGCAATAGATAGTAGTTGGTCCATCTTGTGGTTCGCCCGTTTCTTCAAGTATTCTTCATAGCCATATTGCTTGACTTGTAGTTTCAGCAGCAACTACGTATTCTGCTTCAGCTGTTGATTATGCCACAATTGCTTGATTCTTTGATGCCCATGAGAAAAAAACCTGATCCAAATGAGAAGGCGTATCCTGACGTACTCTTCATGTCGTCTATTGATCCTGCCCAATCACTGTTGGTGTAGCAAATCATCCTTGAGTTGGTCATGGTCTTGTACCATATACCAAACTCTCTTGTGCCTTGTAGATACCTTAAAATCCTTTTTCCTGCTCCATAGTGAATCTGACTTGGCTTTTGCATGAATCTTGACAGAAGACTTGTAGCATACATAATGTCTGGTCGTGTAGCTGTGAGATATAGAAGACTTCCGATCAAACTCCTGTATCGTGATACATCTACTTCTGGTGTTCCATCATCTTTCTTTAGCTTTTCGTTTACCACCAAAGGAGTAGTGGCAGGTTTACATCCGTACATCTTGAATCTGTTTAGTAGAGCTTCAGTATATTTCTTCTGAGAGATAAATATTCCTTCTTTTTGTTGTATCACATCTATCCCGAGGAAGTAGTTCATCAAGCCAAGATCAGTCATTTCGAATGTTTTCATCATATCTTCTTTGAATTCTTTCATCATTTCCTTATTGTTTCCTGTATAGATGAGATCATCAACATATAAGGAGATAATGAGATTATACTGACCTTGTGTCTTGATATAAAGTGTTGGCTCACTCTTGCTCCTCCTAAATCCTTGATCGATAAAATATTTATCAATCTTACTATACCATGCTCGAGGAGCTTGCTTCAGGCCATATAGAGCTTTTCTTAGTCTTAGTACTTTTCCTTCGTGGCCTTTGTTGATGAAGCCTTGTGGTTGCTCAACATAGATCTCTTCTTCAAGTGTTCCATTGAGAAAGGCGAATTTGACATCCAGTTGATGGATGTTCCAACCTTTTTGTGCAGCAAGGGCTATTAAAGCTCTAATTGTATCCAGACGAGCAACTGGAGCAAAAGTCTCATTGAAGTCGATCCCAGGTTGTTGTGAGTATCCTTTTGCGACCAATCTTGCCTTATATTTTTGTATGGTTCCATCAGGGTTGAGCTTAGTTTTATATATCCATTTTACTCCAATGATATCTTTTTCGTGAGGACAGTCCACAAGCTCCTAAGTATTATTCTTCTCAATCATTTTGATTTCTTCTTCCATGGCCTTGACCCATACTTCTTGCTTTGAAGCTTCTTCATAGCAGGAAGGCTCAATGATGGCCATGTTACAAGTTTCATATATATCTACCAAAGATCTTACACGTCTTGGTGTAGACTCTGGTGAAGTATATTCTTCTTCTTCTTGTCGAGGTGGAGAAAGCGTACCTGGATCTCCCGTTTCTTCTTCAGGTTGTTGTACTAGAACCAAGATGTTGCTTCTAACAACATTTTCTTCTTCCCAATTCCAAAAAGAATTTTCGTCAACCTCAACATCTCGACTGATGACGAGTTTCTTTATTTGTAGGTTGTAGACTCGATAGCCTTTTGATTGTTGGCTGTATCCCAAGGATATTCCTCTTATAGTTTTGTCTTCAAGCTTATGCCTCCTCTGATCAGGAACATGTATGTAGCAAATTGATCCAAATATTCGTAGGTGTTTAGCTGATGGTTTTCTTCCACTCCAAGATTCAATAGGAGTCTTGTTTTGAACTGCCTTAGTTGGACATCTATTGAGTATATATACAGCAGTGTAAACTGCTTCTGCCCAAAACGTATTTGGCAAGCCTTTCTCCTTCAACATTGATCTTGCCATCTCCATGACTGTGCGATTTTTTCTCTCTGAGACACAATTTTGTTGTGGAGAATATGCGACTGTAAGTTTTCGCTCAATACCTTCATCCTCACAGAATTTATGAAATTCGTGGGAGGTGTACTCTTTGCCTGGATCGCTCCTGAGAACCTTTATCTGTTTTCCGCTTTGCTTTTCGACAAGGGCCTTAAATTTTTTGAATATTCCAAAGACTTCTGATTTTGCTTTAATGAAGTAGACCCAAGTCATTCTAGAAAAATCATCAATGAAAAGAATGAAGTACCTGTTGTTATTAAGCGATGGAGTCCTCATCGGTCCGCAAATATCTGTGTGGATTAACTCCAACAAGTCTTTTGCTCTCCAAGTATTTCCCGTAGAAAATGGTAATCTGTGTTGCTTTCCCAGAAGACATCCTTCACAAGCTTCGCTACTCTCCTTAAGGCTTGGTAGATCTCTCATCATGTCTTTTTGATGTAGTAGCTTTAAGGCATGAGTATTGAAGTGGCCAAATCTACGATGCCATAGCAACGAGTTATCAACTTCTACTTTCATGGCAATGTTAGTTCCTTGATTGAAGCTTATAGGAAAACTTTTGTTTCTCTTATCCATTTTTACTTGGCCAATCTCTAGATTTTTCTTATCATAGATAATGCATGTATCTCTTTCGAAGTGAAGAGTATATCCTTTCTCCATCATTTGACCAATACTTAAGAGATTTTCTTTAAGATTGGGAACTAGTAAGACATCATTGATAAGTCTCATACCTTTCTTGGTCTCCACCATAACACTGCATTTTCCTTTTGACTCTACCACGGTGCCATTTCCCAATCGTACTTGAACTTTGATGGAGTTATCAATTTCTTTGAAGATGCTTGGATCATTTGCCATATGGTTACTACACCCGTTGTCCAAGTAACATCTTCCTTTTGATTCATTGTCAGAACATCCCGTAGCATAGAAGAGATGGGTTCTCTGTCCCGTTCTTCAGCAAAATTTTCTTGTTGATGATTTTTGTTGCGACACATTTTCTCTAGATGTCCAAATTTCTTACAATATTGACATTGAGGTTTTCCTCGATGCCAACAATATTTTTCCAAGTGACTTGTCTTTTTGCAAGTGCCACAT